ATTTCGGATACTTGCTTTCGGATGCTTCCGCTGCTATGTGGCTTTCGGATGCTCCCACTGTGATATGCCTTTCGGATGCTCCCAAGCTCTCGGACGAGACCTTCGGACGCCGATTTCTCGTGTGCCATTTTATTCTGGACAAACTGTAAGTCAGTCTAGGAACCTGACAACCCTAAAAACCCCCCTCGCAGTAGGGATGACCATTGCCACTCATACCGTTACCACATGACTCCCTACCGTTTTCGCCAACCGTGACTCCCAGTTCGGACGCTTTTGTTATATACGCCAGGCAGAGCTGGAGAGACCTCAGGGAGAAATTAGAGAACTCGCTACAGTGACCCCCGCGAGGAGTCCCATCATCCATTCTACGAACTCGGGATTAGGAATCTTCCAAGCACGCTGCTCTATCGGTGTATTCCTTTCGAACTGAAGCTGCGTGGCAAGATCACCAGTCGCCCTCAACGTCAGTGCCAGAGATGCTCTGCTTCCTCCGCTACACCTAGGAGTAGCCCACCTCTTCTTGATTATATTTCGACCCACGATTATGTCGGCCGTGCGAGAGCTGTGCACTTTCAGAGAAAGCGTCTCGTGGCCCTCGATTACTAGCTGAAGATCGATTTCATCAGATGCGAGTCCTCTTCTATCGATGGCCCATGCCCCACTATCGCTCAGCATGCCAGTACGTGGCCATGACTCTGGTTCGATGATCGCGATTATCATGCCCTCGTCGACTTCCTGCGTAGAATGTTCCGCGCATTCGATATCTACCGGCCTGAAACCACCGCTGAGATACATGAAAGCGGTGCGTACTGCATCAGGCACCACGGAGTTGCCGAGCATGTGCAACCTATGCGTGGCACTCGGGGCATCCGGTCCTTGCAGTCGCTGAGGCTCGTTACTCCAAACGAAACGCTCGTAAGCGAGCGTTGTCCAATGATGTTCGAATCCGGGGGCCACCGCTATGCAGAACCACCTATCTCTATCATGTGGCGCTCCACACTCGGACGCTTTCAGACAAGTCCACCGTAGCTCATACATGCGCTTGAAGTGAAACTCGTCTGCTACTGCATCCATCGCCAGGTGAATGACTCTGGAGACGTTCTCCAAGAAGACCACTTTGGGTCTCAGTTCATCGACCAGACGGATCATCTCGTAGAAGAGTCCACTCCTGGAGTCTGCCAAGCCTTTCCTCAGTCCTGCCGATGAGAGACCCTGACAGGGGAACGAACTCAGTATGACGTCTATGGTTCCGAGGGAACTCCCTTGCAGCTCGCAGATATCTCCATAAATAGGGCCCGTAGGAAGCTCTCCGTCCTTCATCTGTTGAGTCACCACCGAGTGGCAATGCTTCGATATCTCGCAATACGCAACGGTCTCCACCAGTCCCGTCAATGCTCTGGTCATGCCCCCGATACCGCAGAATAAGTCGACGGCTCTCAGAACCATCGCACCCTACTTGACGGCATCGACAATATGCCCGATG